TTCTTTTTTCGCTTTTTCACCGTGTACGACTTTTTTTAGTTGTTTTTCTTCTCAAAATAATGTATGAAAGAATGATGGTTGACATTAACCATTTAGAATGGGACGGCTTTTTGCTGGATCGCCGACAACTGATACCAACCGGCCGTGAGACATGGGCCGGCGTTCGAGTGGTCATTGACGCTATCATGAAATCCCAGAGTTCGCTGCTTTTACTTCTTACTTTTCAAATTTACACGCTTAGTCATTTGACGCCTGATTTTTTTGTGACTTAAACAGCGCTTAATTCTGGGGTTCAACTTCTGAAATTTTGTCAGGCGTTGGGACAAAACAAAAGCGAAAACTCCTTTTGTTTGTCACTCTGAGAGAGGCGGAGGGAGGCATTCGGAAGTATTTCTAGGGTAACAACTGCCAGCAGCAAATATCCGCTATCAAGACCGTCGATGTCTCTTCCGAGAATTGCCTAGAAGCAAGTTGATGGTGGATGACATATCCCAATACCAATCTGACATCGAAACAAACGAACAAATCCTAAAGCGATTGGGTGTCTAGTTGCGATATCGAACCTTCGCACTTTTCATGACAGCTGCTTTACTGAAACATTGATAAAAATTAAATATGCCTAAAAATCTGTACCAAGATACAGAAACGCATCGTACGACAGATGCGTTTCTGCATCTTGGTACAAACAAAAACGTTAAAAACTAGAGATTTTAGGCAAATTTTGTTTGTATTAGTGTGTGTCCATGTGCGGATGCCGTTTTTTTGCGTTTTTGCTCTGCAGCTGCTACAGCCAACAAAAATGCATATTGTCGAGAGGCTGTCTGTGTGTATGTGTGTTCGTGTGTGTGTTTGTGTGTGTGTTTGTGTGTGTGTGTGGAAGCGAGAGCATTTTGTCACCCACTTTCATCCCAATAATCAGGAAAGCTGGGAGGGTGAAACTTTGGGTATATGTTCCTATCCGATGTGTAACTTCTCGTTTTGAGATCTTTTCTCAAATGCGCCTAAACTCCGCGTACGAACTCTCCAAAAAAATATGCAAATTTCTTTGGCGGGAAACGATTTCGCGAACCAGACAAAATACAAAGCTAAAACTTTGCAGGAATATTCTCTGTGCAC